ATTAGGTCTGTTCGCGTTGCTTGCACTTTTTGCACTTACCATCTTCGCTTTCTTTCTTTTTAAAGCCGAATATACATCTATCTCACTTTAAGTGCAAAATTATTTGGGGATTTCATGCAACGCGAACAGACCTACTTTTAACTCCTCTACACTAGCGGCACCACAATATATGAGCGGCACCAACGTCCATTTTCGAGCTGCGGGAACTACGTATGTACCACGTTCATCATCGAGAGCGAGCGAGACAACGAGACCGCTACGTCACGATCGCTGCGTCTCGCTGCCGCTAGTGAACGAGGAGTTAGAAGCAGGAAAAAGGCCGCCATGGCTAGAGATTCTATATGGAGAGATGGGCCAATGCCGACTGATCCGTGATTGGCTCTGCCATGATGTTGTGAAACCGGATGTGAGAGTGAAAGAAGCGAATGTGAGAGTGAGAGGAGCGTCGTCTGCTTATGATTATAAGAAGTATTGTCAGAGACAAAAATTAACTTAGACGAGTCTCTTTTACAGTAAGTAAGTTTAAAATCATCAAAAATGTATCACTAGAACTTTTGGAAAAAATATATATATATAAATATATATAAAAATTCATTTATAAATACATACATACATTTTATATGTAAATTAACCTAAAATTGTTTTTTTTTTTCATTCTGGCAATTGACTTTTTGCCAACAATCTGCACAAACTCGAGATCGTATGATTTATTAAATCTTGTTAACTCACATTAAATATGAGGTTAGAAATCTGTGTTATTATGCGATAAGTTTTCACCAAATAAATAAGTAGTAAAGTCATTGTTTAAATATAAAATATTCATATCACTTCAGATTTCGTATCACTGTGTGTAAATGGAAAGCAACTTTTTTATTCGAATTTAATACGTTTTGCACGTTTTTGTCTATTTTGTCTGTTTTATCCACAATTCTATATTTACGAAAAATAAACTTTCTCTAATAATTATTCATTACAACTTTGAGTTAACAAAGTTATAATAAACAAGTAGTGTTACGTGATGTTTCGAAATTGGCGTTGATATATTAGCGCGCATTTCCAAGATCATGTGATTTCCGGTTTCACAACATCATGCCGGACATTGGCCCATCTCTCCATATAGGATCTCTAGGCCTGGCCGCTCTCCAGGTTTCTCTCTGTAAGTAGTAATCCGTTAGTTTGCACCGATCGTGGCCGATCGAGTGTAAAAATAGTGTAATACATGATAATTCGTGAACTGTTCGTGAACAGCTATCATTGCGGTCATGATTGCGGTTTCGTGTTTTGACAGTTACGTGTGTCAAGAGGTTAATAACGTCTTCGAGATTACTCAGATTTACTAAGTTTCATTAAGTATTTTCATTACAAAACCTTTATTCTTACTATTTCATAAAAAATCGATACTTCATATTATCTATTTTATTTTTAGTTATTGGTTTTTGGCCTAAAGGTGGCTTTTCATACTGACATAAAGATAATAAAAAATATGTTATAAAATATATATTTATTTATTTAAAAACGCTTATATATTTTAATCTATTTTATTTTTTGATTATCTATAGTTTAATTACATAAGAATTATATATTTTTACTTACATCTACTAAATTAATCTTGATTTATATTACTTATATATTGATTTCCATCGCCGCTTTTATGAATAGTCGTAGGTAATGTATATAATTCTTTAATATTAATTACTGAATATTCTTCACTATTTGATTTATCGATAACATAAGCCTCAAAGTGTTTATTTATATCATGACAATGCAACTGCATATAAATTATAAAAATAGTCATCGCTCTTATATAAAATATGATTTATTAATTAAACTTAAAATACCAGGTCAAGAACAAATTGAGCTTATACTAGTTGTTAGAGATATATATAAATTTATTATAATAATAATACCGGTATATACGGACAGTTTCGACTTCACAGAGTCCTCAACAGCCGCAACCGAATTCTTAAAATTAATTTAGTATATTGCGAAGAATATCACAAGTTGGCGTTTCGTCCCATTTGGGGGAACTTTTCAACGTATATTACTTAAAAATATTGTGAAGAATATTACTACGTCGACTCGCCATCAGAGGTCTATGGATATTCTCGCAAGTAAAGTTTCTCGCAAGTGCTGAAATACGCGCATATCTGTATATATCGGTAGCATTACTGGATTTCCTAGCTCAGCGCGGCGCATGCGCCAAAGTGCGAGCCAATCTGGGATCACTGTGTATACACAATTTAGTAATGAGTCTAGTTACATCGAACCGAAAAAACTATTGTCTAGGGAATAATCAAATTGGAAAACATCGTATCAATATTCGATATTTTCCAGAAAAATAATCGATATCAAAATAATCTAATGCGAATCGCCCTAGTTACGATAAACGACAAAAAGAAGGAGCGTGCGAGTAATTTTACTCCTTCCGAAATTACAGCTCTTGTAAAAATTATTGCAAAATATAAAAAGATCATCGAATTCATGAAAACGGAATAAGCAACTATTTAGAGAGAGAAAGACGAAGCATGGGACAACGTTACAGCCGACCTGAATTCAAGATGTGGTGAGAATTTTAGAGATTTAGCAAACTTTTCTGGAAAAATAAAATTGCTGTAAAAAAATTTAAAACATCTGTTTAGCTCGGCGTCTGTTTCATTTATATCACGGTGCCACAGTCGATAAAATCAAAGAATTGATCATTTCTGGAGAAACTTGCTTCAGGATCAGGATAATTTCCAGAATTTGTATGTTTTTGTGAAAAAGGTCCTTATTCTGAGTCATGGTCAAGCATTTGTGGAAAGAGGATTTTCAATAAATAAGGAATGTATTGTTGAAAATCATTTATTTAAGTCCCTAATATCTCAAAGACAAGTTTACAAAGACAACTTACTCATAAAAAGATGATTTTATCTTACCGAAATACGAAAGATATGTATGGTATAAAGCATTGGAAAAGCAGCGCTCTGAGAAAGAACAAGAAAATGCAAAGATTGCTAAAAAAAATCTTTATTTAAAAAATTTCAGAATTGATGGCTAAGAAGGCAAAACTTTTGACAGAGGGAACTAAATGAACTAAGTGCTCTTGATGAAGAAAGAACGTCATTGACATCATTAACATTCGATTAAGAGGCTTGTATAATTTTTTATGTTAACTTGCAGTATTTAAGTTTTCTTTAAGGATTTGAAATTTTAGTTTTTATGTTAAAAAGCTAATGTAAACTTGTAGAGATTTAAAATGCTTTACTAAGAACATCGAAATTTTAAAGTTGTCTGTTCTTTTGTTTTATATAAGAAAGTTCTATGCCATTTATGAATAAGTGAGTAAAATAAATGTTAATTTTATATTTTTTTGACTTTTTTTAAAAATATGTTAACCTTTATAATAGCAGATTGAGATTTTAATAAACAGGACGTAATTTTGATAAAAAAGAAACTGTATTCATTGATTTATGTTCCTTATATTCTAAGTACAGCAGCAAAAAGAAAGAGATGAAGAGGAAAATAATTATGTTCATACATAAAAGGAAAAGACAAAAATACTACAAACTTAACAATTAAATGCAGTGTCAGCAATATTAATAGTAATTTAATTACACTGTCACGTCAAATTGCTCGATCAACAAAATATTTAACAATTTTCAAATCAGGATAAAAATACAAAAAACATTTCAAAATATGTATTGTTGAAAGTGAAGGAAAATCATAGAATTTGTCTGGAAATCAGAGAAATGTCAGGAAATTTTAGGAAAAATTTGTGGCAATCCTGCAGTCATTGGCGAATCTTCCGATCGCCGATTATTGCAGATATGATTAATACGGCGGAATGGATTATATATGTGCAGGATTGTGTGTCTTTATAGTTTTCTCCAAGTATCGACATCAAAATCAGGGAATAACTGTATACAGTCTTTCGTATACCACTGAATGCAAAGAGAATAATGGTCAATTTTGTCAGATCTAACATTAGTTTAACATTAATCTAACATTAATCAATCAGTTTCTTCTAATCTTTACGATTAAATTTGTTAAATTTGAAAATGTGGGTTATGTACATTTTGCTTAACGTCTGATTATAACTTTATTATAAACATATTGGAATAATTCTGACATGTTGTAATAGTTTATAATTTGTTGAAATTCCATAATTTTGAGGCATCAAATAATTTTATCAAATTTTACTGAATCATGAGAATTTAAACAAATGAATACCGATGAAAACATGTTATATTATTTCAAACTTTAGAAGATCAGTCTATGTTTGAAATTGTCTATATTCTGACTGTATCACTTCTAGGAATAAGCATCGTTGTATATTTATTAATTTAATGTAACTACACAGGCAATTTATGCATATTAAATCATTCTCAATATATTAATATCCAAATTTTTGTGGTTATAACATGTTTCTATAATTTCTTTTAAACTTATATAGTATACAATGATTCAACAGGTATTATTATTTAATACCTCAAATGTAAATTTAAACAATAATTCCATAAAAATTAGACATAATCCATCATTGACCATTAAATTACTTTCTTATTATCTGTATTATTAAACTCCATAATCATTTATTAATAGTATGTAAGCCTAGATTACCTGTGATCCATTAATACTGTATTACAAAATATAGAATGTATTTTCCTGTATCGGCTCAACAATTAAAAAACACATTGGTTATTATGACTTATAACATATATTCACAAAGGTAGCAAGTGCTACGTAATCATACCTGCATTATGACTTACTTGATTTTATTGCATTTCTACTATGTCTCTCTTAATTATTAATCAGGAAGTTTCTGTTAAAATCCGTCCTGCTCCGTCCCCCTGCCGCACCACTCATTTTCCTCACTTTCCTAGCTCTTACTCCCAAACGAATGCGTGTCCTATTAAGTCCTTTTAGAGTAACAAAGTAGAGACCTGGAGCTACATTTTGAGCTATATTAAAAGAAAATTGAGACTGGCCTTTAGGCGCGCCGCCATTTTGAAAACTTCAAAACTGACAAACATCGTCGTAAACCGGTCTGATCGAAAAAAAAGTATTCTTACGTGAAAGAGCGTTCTATTTTCTATAAGGTAACTTCTACATTGCATTTTCAAACTTGCCTCTCATGCCCACTAATGACAAGCGAAAAGAGCGCTGCGACGAGAAAGCCCAAAAATTGACGGCTCTATAGTTCGGCAACCAGTTGGCCTACAGGTATATTTATTCGGCATAGAGTCTTTATTCATCAAACTGTTCAAGTTTAAGCAATATGAATAAGCAATTAAAGAAGAAAAATTCTACATTTCTACATAATTCTGTGTATCCACTTCGTTATAGAGCTTTTAAAGATACGGTTCTAATGCAATACTTTTTGTATTTCATGTGTTGTTATACCTACAATGAGTTTTCAATATTTGAGGCCTATAATTCTTTATATATTCTAGATCAATTGCATGAAAGTGGATATATTCCTTCATATTTATTTGGAGTAAAACCAATAGAAGCAAAACTCAAGTTTTCTTATATTTTTGTGGCATATGGCGAACACAGAACCTCTACGAACAATGTCAGATAGATTTAACGTCTCTATTTCATCTGTCTTCCGAGTAATTCGCCGAGTAACAGCTTGGATTTTAATAAAATTAGATGATATTATTCAGTGGCCTAAAGGACAACACGTCGCATATGTTTGTCAACAGTTTTATGCTAAGAGAGGCATTCCAAATGTAATAGGGGCTATTGATTGTATTCATATTAGGATAGAGAAATCTAATGTGGAAAATGCAAGAGATTATGTAATCGGAAAAAATACTTCTCTATAAACTTACAAGCTGTTGTAGATTCGGATATGAAATTCACTAACATATATTGTGGTCAGCCGGGTTCTCTTCATGACGCACGAATTCTAAAAAAGTCACCATTATACAGTTCAGCTTGTGAAAATAGAGAAGTAATTTTTCCAGATGGAAAATTTATACTTGGGGATTCTGCATATTCATCATTACAATGGCTTGTTCCTCCTTTCCGCGATAATGGTCACTTTACTCCCCATCAAACTGAATTTAATTTCATACATTCTTCAACGCGTATGGTTGTAGAAAAAGCATTTGGCTATCTGAAAGGACGTTTTCGACGAATTAAATTTTTTACAGAATATTGCAATTTACCATTTATTACAAATACAATTGTAGCTGCATGTATGTTACATAATTTTTGTTTAGACTGTGGTGATGAAAATTTTAATGATAATGTGGAATGTGAGGAACTAAATGATATTGTTAATATAGATGATTTGGACGAAAATATTAATTGCGGACTTGAGTTAGATCGAAGAATGCAAGTATTCAGAGAAATCTTTGATCAGGAATAAATATGTATATGTATAATTGATTATGAAAAATTTATGTATATGATTATGAAAAAGTTATAAATAAAAATATTTGATCATAACACAATTGGAAGATAAACATTGTTTTATTTAAAAACTCTACTCACAATAGTACAATAGTAGTAATTCTATTGTAACAGGTACAATAGTAATCTTAATGAAAAAAAAACGAAAGACATTAGATTGAACATTACATTTTCATTATAGCTAATTAGACTTATAGAACTCTGTTCTTTAATAAAAACAAATTATAAAAAAATAATTGGTAGTAAATAGTCATCTACTCGTTATAGCTATCAAAGATAATTTTCCTATTTATTTCCTTCTATAAAAATAATCTTTTAATAATTATATTTAAATACGTTATATTGCAAACTTCTGATGTTACATGGTAAATTATATTCTAATTTTAACTAAAATATAAAATGTATATATAAAATTTAAAAACAAGTAAAAACATAAAATGAAAGCAGAAGCATATTTTACTGAATAATATGCCTTAGAAAACAGGCCAAAACTTAAAACAATCATCTACTATTCATCAGAATCATCGGAGATATCCTTTACATTTTCTTGATTTAATAATTTTTTTAATAAGTTGCATTTTTTTTCTATTCTCATTAATTCAGTGTGTCTATTTTCTTTGTTCTTCAATTTTTTAAGTAATAGTTCCTTTTTCTGTTCCATCTGTTTTCTTTTTAAAGATACCATTTGTTTCTTTAACGTAAAGCTTTCAATTGCTCTGTTCTCAGCTGTTATATGCCTTTTATGACGTTCAGTATCTCTTATTTCTTTAGTTTATAGAAATTTTAGCCACTGTTGTTCAATGTTCATTTTTTTATTTGCTAAGTTTGATCCTGTTCCATGGCGGGGACGAATTTTTGCTTCTGTATTTTTATTATTCAATGGCGAGGCAATTGAAATTGTAGCAGCAGACGCGATGGGACTTGTAAGATCACTTATAACCATATCTGGTGATAATGATTTGGAAGTTCCACAACTTATAATATGTCTTTGATCGGATAATGCAGGTTTGTCGACTTTAGTTCCTATTATTTTACTCGATACAGTGTGGGCGGCAACAGCATCTTTATTTTTGCCAAATATTTCATCCAATTGACTGTACCATTTAAATTCAATTCTATCTCTGCTTGACTTATCACAACAATCTTTGTATTTTTTTTGTAATATATTCATTTTCCATCTAACCTGATCACTGGACATCTGAAGAAAGAAACATTTTTAAAAATGAAAAGCATTGTCATGACATGGTATGTGTGTATGTGTATGTGCGTGTACAACCATCCTATATTATATATTGTACATAAAGTTGGAGTATTATAAAAGGAGTATTAAAAAATTATTTTATTTTGTTTAGAAAAAGTCGTTTCTTTATCATACCTGGATTTCGAAATTTTTTAGGCCATCTGATATTGCTATCCAAATTTTGGATTTTTTTTTAGGATGATCCAACATATGCTTATTGGCTTCATAAAGGCTGAGAAGAGCCATTGTTGCCTCATCAGTCCAAATAGCGCCTATGAATAATATTTAAAAACAATATGAAACAATAATTTTATTCCGAATATATTCAAATATATGTATAATACCCATATATATGTATAACTTTTACTTTGTTTAGCAGAGTGTTCACTATCTGTACTGCCTGCGATGGTTTCTGGCACTGTTTTCTGGCAGTTACTATATACTATAAGAATAAATAATAAGAAATAAGAATTTTATATTTCATAAATTATGTATAAGTTAAATACTGTATGTATCGGATACTTTAAATAAGATTTTATATAATATTTTAGTTCATAATTTATTATTAATCTACTTTAAAATTAGATTAAGAAAAATAGCTTTTATATTTAATAAGCAAGTTATGCTGTCATAATAAATAAACTTACATTCATCATTAACATCTAAAATGTCGTTGATAAATAAAGCGTTATTGCTGTCCATATATATATCTTTTCCTCTTAAACATTCATGTACGGATGCTGCGTCTAATGAAACGATACATACATTGCAGTGTTTGCAAGTAAATCCATTTTCTTTTATTACTGTAATTAAGAAATTAAAATATGATTATTAATCATTAATTATTAAAATTATGTTAACTTTTATAATTGCAAAATAAAATATAGTATTTTCATGTTGTAGATTTCACATTTTAAGAATATTAAACTAGAATATTAAATTTGTACTAAATACCTTCCATAGTTCAGAAAACGGTAGTCTAAATTCAAAAGAATATTTTGTCATCTTATTTGTTTCGTATATACTCATGCAATGTCGGAATATTCCTAGATAAATAAGTAGTACCAAATGTAAAAATCTTGATTATGTTGGTAGCTATAAAGAGACGATACAGTTGAACTCAGCATTTTAGCTATGTACGATTGTGTCGACTTGTGTCATAGTTGGAAAGCAGTGTCGTACACTATGTTATACAGTGTCTACTTGTGTTGTAGCTGGAAAGCACCCATTATAACCACACTTTACGTAATTTCACTCTTCGCTGCTCTTCGCACTTTTCGTGAACGCATTTGATTGGTTAAGGTGTTGCGATCAACAGTTGCTGTCGCCAAAAAGTTAAAAGTTGGACAACTTTCCTTTAACAACCACAACTATTGGCTCCCGGAAGTTGCCGCGATAGCCAATCAGCGTCTCGCCGGCAAGATATTGATTTGTTATCGTGCCAACTTCCGCCGCGCGGCAAGCGTTTCCGCGTTCTGTCTGCAGGAGCCATATTTATTGCAACTGGAAATAGCACTTAGCAACCAGTAATTACTAATTGCCATTCTTTGCGACTGGCAACGGGGTGTTGGCAAAGTATTGTAGACCGCCCATAAGTGGAACGCACCCTAGGTGCACGTACTCGGAGTTCGTATTTTTATACTGAACTGAGTGCGAGTACTTGCACTCTAACCTAGTTATAATAATTTGTACTGACCCGACTCAGTGCACAATAGTAACTTTTTTAACACCAACGTATATAATGGACGCGTTCAATGGACTTAAGGGTGCCTTCACATGCAGCGTACCTTGCGTAAGCGTAACCTGCGTATTCTAGTAATTTACTAGAAGTTATGCCAGTTTAAAAGTACCCCATTCACATGGCGCATATTTTGTAAAATTCGCATAAAACATAACCAATAATTTTATAAAGCTAACCAATGACAGATCTAAAGTATTGTTCGTTTTGTCTCTCGGGAGCTGCTCGGAGTCGCTCCGAACGAACCCAGCATACTTGGATACAATTCATTTAATGCTGCAAATGCTTCGTTGATCAATCAGAAGAAAGAATTTTACGTATTGATCAATCAAAGAATGTTTCGAGGTATTTACAACATTAAATGAATCACATCCAAGTACACTAGGTTCGTTCAGAGCAACTCCGAGCAGCTCCCAAGAGACAAAACGAACAATACCTAAGTTTCTTTTAGTACAATAGAGCAAAAATACTAAACGACTTCTTTGTTGGTTGTTATTGTTTAGGCGTATTGTTAAATACGCGTCATGTGAATGAGGTACTTTATACGTAAGAATATGTGAAAGCCAGTGAAAGCGCAATTTATATATCCTCGTGTCAACTATATAAAGCGTGAAGGTAGGGAAGGTTATTTATTATTTTTGTCATATACGTTCTTCTAGTTCCCTTTTTTTAATAAAATAAATTTTTCATTTTCTTTGTATTTATTAGTAAATTTATTACAGAACTCGTTTTCCAAGAATTCATAAAATTTCTTGAATATATTGAATTCCAACCTTGTAGCAGTAATTATTTGCAAAAAAAGATTATTTGTAAGGAAAAGAAAACTAACATTACGACATCGGAAAGTTGGCAAACGGAATATATTGGAATTCATTGCACTATGGAAACTTGTAATGAAGCGTAAAAGAGAAGGATGCCAAAGGATGTAGGGTTTGTCCAATATTTACACAATTACAAAGACATTTACAAGGAGATAGTGACAATCTAGCCATAGAAATGCAGCTACAAGATCAAGAAATGTTTTACAATTATTGTAGAATGTCTACAGAAATATGTGATCAATTACTGAGTATTGTTGAGCCTCTTATTGAGAAACAAAACGTTGTTTGAGATCCAATATCGGCTCGCACACGACTTTTAGTATGTTTGCGTTACTTAGCTTCCGGTGACAGTATGGCCTCAATATCCTATGCATTTAGAATTGGAGTAAGCACTGTTTCAAAAATTATCTCTGAAACATGCGAAGCATTGTGGATTTCTCTTCACGAATCTGTTATGCCAGCACCAAATGAAGAATCTTGGTTGAGAATCGCGAGTGAATTTGAGAGAAATTGGAATTTCCTGCATTGTATAGGTGCAATAGATGGAAAACACATTGTAATTCAGGTGACATTTTTTCCGAAATACATTTGTTATTTATTTGTATTGAAAAGTGCTAGAATAATTAATCTATAACAATTTTTTTCATTTCCGAAATATATTTCTTATTTATTTGTATTGAAAAGTGCTAGAATAATTAATCTATAACAATTTTTTTCTATTTATCTTTTAGGCGCCACCTCATAATGGATCAGTATATTATAATTACAAAGTGACTCATAGTATTAACTTGTTAGCAGTTTCGGATGCCAATTATTGCTTCACACTAGTCGACATTGGAGCTGAGGGTAGACAAAGTGATGGCGGTATCTTTGCGAATTCAAAGTTTGGTCAACGATTAGAAAGAAATGAAATGAATTTGCCGCAACCAAGTGCAGTAGAACCTAACGGACCTCCTTTACCATATGTGTTAGTGGCAGATGAGGCATTTGCTTTGAAATCATATATGATGCGACCATATCCTCGATGTAGTCGATTAAATCGTCAGGAAAAAATATTTAATTACCGTTTAAGTCGAGCAAGAAGAGTGGTCGAAAGTGCATTTGGCATTATGGTAGCACGATGGCGAATCTATAGGCGTCCGATAATTGCATCAATTTCCACTGCAATAAAAATTGTTCAAGCAACTACATGTTTACATAATTTTATAATAAAAAATGAAAACAAGTTGCATAACTTCCAAAGGCAATACACTTGTATTACTACAAATGACGAAGATTTGATTCACAGTGCATTACAAGAAATGAACAATGCTAGCAGATCTACTAATGCCCACAATCGACTAGTCTCCAGAATTCGAGACGATTTTGCATCATATTTTGAACATGACGGAGCAATATCTTGTCAGTGGAAGAAAGTCCTTAACAATGATTTTTAATGATATATTTGGAATCTTTAAATATATTTATAAAAATGACACAACTAAAACAGTTTCTCAATATACATGTTTTAATAAAAGAAGTTCAATGCATATTTATTCAATGGTTAACATTTTTTAACTTACATCATACATTGTTATGTGTAAGGAAGTATTAATTCTATTTCATCACGTTGAGACTGATCACAGCCACTTGGCGACAGATGCCTAAAATTTTTCTACTAGACAAGCATTGTAATTGTAAATGCGGTTTGTGATCAATCACAATATGATTAAACGAGTCCTATGCAAAGGAATTTCCGACACACATTCATAACATTTTACAGTACCTACTTAACACATAACATTATACAACGCTTAGGGCTAATTGTTCCATCTTTTAGTAAAGTTTACCTGTTAGGTAAGTAGCAAGATTACTCAATCATGTGCGCGGATTGCCTGATTAACCTAACAAGTAAACTTTACCGAAAGATGGAACAATCGACCCTTAATCTCATTTGTATTCTTACAGTAATGCGACTACAATCGAATATCACATTTTAAACAGTAGATTATAATAGTAATATCACATTCTAAACAGAAGATTATAACAGTAATATCACATTTTACAGTAAATTAAAACATTAAAGCTGTATGGCTCCTGCACACTGGATGCAGAAACGCTAACCGCGCAGTAAAATGTGACGCAGTAGCGACAAGCGTTTTCGCGTCCAGTGTATAGAAGCCATTACTGTACAAATATATTTATAAAATTTCGCAAAAGTTACTTTCTTTAGAATAAAAAATAAACATATTTGGTTATAACATATAAAATAAGAAATAAAACTGGAGTTTAATTTAGAAAAATGAAAAGCAACAGGAAAAATCATCATAAAATTATATTCCCTCTATACGTATGATAACATAATATATAATTAATAGATCCTGTAAATACACGTTATAAAAATACAAAAATAAAAACAAATAGAGCATAACAAAACCTCAGGAAATTTTTGTTTTTACACACTCTTCCTGTTGATATGATTTAGTTTAACATAATTATACTTTTCAGTTATATAAGTAAGATATCACAGTTGTAAATAACATTACTGAGCAGCTAATATAATAAAACTTAATTGTTATAATAAAGTCTCAGAAAATTTCTATTATTAAATAAATATCCTTTTCTTCACGCGTGCACGTAATGTGCCCTACACTTTAACGCTTTTACGCGCGGTAAATAAACAATACCTCAAGCCGTTAAGTTATTTCTCTAATCCCACTCTTCTGCGCAAAAACGTTGCTGTATAAGGCACATTACGACGAGCACTTGTAAAGAAAAATTCTATGTGTAACAGTGGGGGCATATTTGTTTATAGGTCGACACGGGCGCGTGTACGCACTCGCTTCGCTCCAACGGCTTCGCTCGTGCCGTCGCGCCCGTCCCCACAATAAACAACATTCCCCCACGGTTACACAATGTACTATTCTGTTACTAATACTTAAACTTACTTAATAAGTAGTGACTAACATAGCGTTTTTCTTGTACAAATAAAATCGCAGATGTGGATAACATTATTGGATCGCTACTACAATTGTACTTTTACTTCAATAAACTATGCAAAAAGAAAAAATTACTAATGTTTCAATTAAAAATGTGAAAAATAAATGTATTCCAATGAAAATGTCTAAATTGACATATAAGATAATTAAAAAAATTCTTTAACAAATTTTATAAAAAAAACTTTGAAACTGAAATTGTCTTTAGTTGATTTTAAATATTCTGTATTAGGATGCCATTTCTTATAAAATGTTACTTAGATAATAAAATATCTATTATTTTTTTTGGCGTTTCTCATTTCTATTTTCTTCTGGTAACAGTGAAAAGCGTGATACAATAAAGTTAGCAAAATGTTTATCTGCAGGTAGACAATTTTCTTTCTCCTCTTTTTTTCAAGTATATATTCTTTAAATGCATTTGTAGCATTAACAAATGAAGTTTCAAGTATATCAGGTTTATTTTTTACCTTTCACTGCACGCCACCCGAGGAACATTGTATCGAGACAATGGGTAAAGATGGAATGCTAGACGTGGGTAATTTTGTTACATTAAGTCTTTATCTGCAAAGTGAGGTATGCCTAGCGCATTTGAAGATAAATTTGTTTCGTTCAAATCAGAAAAGCTCGATGCTTCATCAAAATACTTAGCAATATTTTCAAAGTTACCAACGTTTTCATATATTGGTATGGATGAAGTAGATCGAGTACTGTCTACAGAAATGCCTACAGAGGTGTTTGTACATGTGAGAGATGTAATTGATTGATGAGCTCCTGTACAACTTTTAAGTGTCTTTGATATTGAAGGTTCACAATTCTGCCCAGAAAATCCACGTTTCAATCTTTCTAATTGCTTTTCAGGAAATCTGCACACACATATAACGTATACATAAATCACTATTATGCAAAATTTCTTTTAATACAATTAAGTACAGCTCAATAGGAAATAAGATGATATGTTAGCTAAAGAAGCCGAAAGCTTCGTCCAAAAGATCAATATAAATTATTTTAATTTATTTTATTTGTTTCTATCCAGATAAAAAGCGTGATGATAACATTTTATCACAATATGTGATGTCATACTGTGATCTTAATTTAATATACTTTTAAAGATCATTATATAATTAACAGGACATGAGCACAAAATATACATAAATATGTACACATATATTTAAATACAGCCACATGACAAATTTTATTATTATAATGCTATATTAGATGAGATATTTTTCTGATCATTATGACAAGGACATCTGAATAGTATATCAGTCCGCATTTGTATCAATTCTTGATCTTGCGTTATTACTATTGTGAGTATAAGGTCAAAAAGAGATCAGATCGAATACATTTTGTTATATGAGTACTAAGCGATGGAATTGTGATTGTATGTACCTTTTCTGAGCTTGACTCGCTATCCAGTTACTTTGTGGGAATGTGTTCTGAACTTTCTTGATTTGATTAGACAATATTATGACTCAGGTGGATTGTGGATGTATTTCTCCTATTGAAAGCATATGAATAATAAGAATATACAACATTAACTCTTTCAATAAACCTTTCCTTTCTATGTTATAAATCAATACTTATAAAGTTACCAAAAAACATTCATAAAAATTATCGAATATTAAAAATATTTTTTAAATAACATATTAAATATTGATTTTGTCAATATTTAAGAAGAAAATTAATAATTAACAAAAGTATTGGAATTTACAAACCGTTCGGACTTAAATTTAATTCTTTGGACGATTTGTTCTGAGATTCAGTGAGAAATGAAACATTACTGATGGTCCTACAACACAATTATTAGGGTAATTATTACATTATTAATATAACTAATTTTTTATTAATAAATTTTATCTACTTTCTTTGGATGTTTCTTCAAAAATTTCATACTTTTGAATAATGGCCACTGTTTATTTTGTTGCTTGCCACTGCCACTGCGCGTTGCATTTTCGTTTAATCTTCTTTCTTTGATATATCTATCTTTTAGTTTTTTCCATCTATATTGTACTTCATTAACTACGAAAAATTCAATATTATTTTGAGATTATCTTAAGGTTAGGATTATATATCTACATGCAAAAATATTTCATTAACATACCTGATACATTGCATGTTTCTGCAATTTCTTTCCAGAACTTTTCCTTCATTAAATAATCTTTGTAATTTTTATCGTTCTTGTTGTATAAATGAGTATAACTTTGGACACAAGGTGACAAGTTTATCAAACGTTTCAATAAATTCACCAACATCGTCAACGTTTTCTTCAGCCAACCCTTGACTTAAATGTATAGGAAAAATTGTCCAGATACATGTGATCATCAGTCATCTCGCTAATATTATTTTTGCACAAGTTGCTAAACTAATTCTTCCTTTTGTTGTTTGACCCGAATTATCTCTTTTCCAAACATCAGAAACGAAAACTGCGATCGCCAGTGCCCAAATAGTGTATAAATAACCTAATAGTTCTCCTATTGGTTGGCATTAAGACGTTAAATGTAAAATTCCAACATGACGAAAGTTTTACGACTAAAGGTACCTTTTCATGCTAACGCTCGACGCTCATTGGTCGCGTTCAGCAGACTCAACTGTTGCGGAGCAGATCTGTGAGCGCTCGCTGCTATTAGTTGATCTAAAAGAATATACTAATAACAGCGAGCGCTCACTCAACTGTTGCGTCCGCCGAACGCGTACCTTGTGTCCACGATGCTAGAATCGGTCCGAGATCTCGGATGAAGAAAGAATTAACAAATCACATTTGAACAATTTGGTCACATGACCAATGTAATTGGTCAATTTTTCCTTCATCCGAGATCTCGGACCGATTTCTATTATCGTGAACACAAGGCTTTAGCGTCAAAATAGATAACGTGATAAAAATTGACGAATATCAAGCGTCAATTTTAATCACGTGATCTATTTTACGCTAAATTATCTATTTTGCATACATTTTTTTTAAAGCAACTATGTGTTTTCTTTACACCATTTGATTTGTCTCATTATTCTGTTCACAAAAGTATTAAAGTACGATAATCAAAAAATCAACAGTTTACGAGTTATTTAACATTTTGTGTCAATATGTACCAAAATAAAATTAAAATATCTGGTAAACTATTGGTTTTTTGGTATCTCTACCTTAATACTTTTATATGCAAAATAATTAGAGGAATTACGTTATCTAAAAAAAATTACATAATTCCATTTAAAAAATTAAAGGTGACCTTCACGTAACCTTCAGGACTATCCAAGGTCAAATCGATGGCACTATCTTATGTCCCCCTTCGAGTCAAACAACTTTTGTCTGAAACATTTTTTCGATAAACGCCTTCTTTTTGAGATAATCGTGTGGAACGTTTAAAATGGGACACCCTATATATAGGTATATATATGTCTATTTGCAATATTTATTAAGGTTTGCTCCCGTTTTTACAGGTATAAAACTATCTATATGAAAACGGCGGGAGTAAATAAAATACTCAAATGTGATTTAAAATAAATATACAATAATACTATTTTCAAGATTCAAGTTTATGTAACTATCTTTTTTTATTTTAACTTTGATGTCGTATTTTTATAATATTATTAATTGTTATTTTGAGTAAGTGCGCATAAAAATTATTCTTTTAAATATTACTGTTATTATCGAAAATAATGTATTTTAAGTTAAAGTGGCAACTATTTTGCTGTGATTATATTAATGACATTAAAGACTTGGAGTTTCTAAGGCTTACATTTTATTTATAATACTTATTAAAAATTACAAAATGTAATAATTTATAATATTGTAAGATAATTAAAACAATTTTAACTTTAAATAATAAATATTATTTCAACACAGTACTTTTTACGCTAAATGTCGGATACACATTTTTATTTAGATAAGAAAATGTTAAAAATATAAAAAATATATATTGTGTAATTTAAAATCTGAAAGTACATTATATTTTTCTTCTGTTCTCATTGTACCATTCGATCTTGCCAAGGAACAGTATAAATATTATTAAAATAATTACACAACTCATCTCGCAATGTTAAAGCTGCATTAGTATGTCTATTTCCTCTCTGATGAATTAATGGAGCAAAAGCTGATGCTGGTTCCTGTCTCCATTCGCCAAGTTGTATTGTGCCAGTTTGTACATCCTCGATATCAAGCATATTATCAGGAGTATATAAAGCTCTGCCTATAACGTTTGAACGAAGAAAATTATGTAAGCAGTAACAAGTTTGTATTAAAAGCACTGCTATGTCTGGATCATAACGCATGGAGGATCTAAAAATTTGGAACTTGGCACCTAGAATTCCAAAAGTATTCTCGGAAGTTCTGCGTGCACGGGAATGTCTGTACAAAAATAATACTTTTTTAATTATACTGCTAACTTTAAATTGTACTTCTAAATTATATAATACTTCCAAATATATACCTATAGTTATAAATTCTCCTATCCTTTCGGCCAGTACACTGTGATCCTGGATGTGATATTAACAATGAGATGGATAGAGGAAAACCCTCATCATCAACAAAAACGTACGGGAAATTTTGCTCAATGCCAGGAAGAGGTGATGCTGCAGGTATTCTTAATTGGCCTTAATCTAAATGAGCTTTTAAAGAGCATTTATTCCACACTCCAGAGTCACTGATACGACCATTAGTGCCAATATCAACATATATGAATCTTAAATTTGCATCCACAACAGCCATAAGCACTATACTAAATGTGTCTTATAATTATAATAATAGAATCCTGATTGTAAAGGGGGATCAATTCTCACATGTTTCCCATCTATTCCGCCAATACAATTAGGGAAGTTCCATTTATTTTCGAAGTCTTGAGCTATCACTTTCCATTCTAGTTTATTGAATGGAAATTTTAGAAATTCGTCTTTAAGTACAGCAACCAATGCTTGGCATACTTCTCTAATTATTTTTGATACAGTGTTCTGACCTATGCGAAATGACATTGACAAGCGTTTTCTCCTTTCTTGCGTTTCACCTATATAAGAACAAATGACACACATCACTTTATTTAAATGTATACTTATAGGATATATATTACATGAATTCATAAAGAAAATTCAAGAAATAACATACCAGTAGCTAAGTGCCTTAAAGTAAGAGATAATCTTTCAGCAGGTGGAATACTTTTTCTTAAATGCGTATTTTGCTTTATTATTAAAGGTGTAACTTTATTCAGTAATTTTTCAAAAGTAGGTGTATCCATTCGAAGACATCTACAGAGTAAAATGTATCATGTTAATTATTTGCATGACACATACAATAGATACATTTTTTGTTTAATAAATATAGAATTGTGTATGTGTGTGTGTGTGTGTGTGTGTGTAAATAAATATAGAATATGTACATAAATGTAATAAAATATACCTTTGAAACTTATCCTGGTCTTCTAACCAAAGCTCTGTGAATAAGTTATTGTGTATACCTTGTTCCTTTCGTCTACCAATTCAAGGCTTCACTCACATTCTTTTTCTAAATGTTCGTTTTTCATCATATTTATTTATAATGATTAACATTAATAATTCTGCAATTTTCTTGCGGCGTTGAGAATAATATTGATGAAACGTAACATAATTTTTTATTATACACATGTTATAACCTCAAAAGTTTCTACGTCGGGAGGGTCGGGAGCCAGAGTTGCTCAAGAGCTTTGTAGTGTAATTGATCGACTCTAAGTAGTAAGTTGGCAGTCAGAGTTGGCAGTCGAGTCAGATTCGGGAGCCTGTAGGGGTGTGTTCAGATTCCCAACCTGACGACCCAGGGTTGAGTTATCTAGAGTTTCGATTCTAACTCGGCTGATTCACTCCGAGTAACAGGTGGCTCTGAACGGTTCGGGTTGTCATTTGGGTTAAAATATGGTGGCAAGGAATAAAAAGAAAGGAAAAAGATGGATTACGAAAAAAATATCATTGTGCTTATGGCCATTAATGTGACTGAACAACTGTTCAGATCAATATTCAGTGAAACATTGGAAAATAGTGATGAAGAGGAAGAGTTGGTCGAGGCATTTTTATTGGAAGCCCATCTAAGGCTACGTGGCCCATTGAGAAAAGCTATACGAATTGAAGGTTATGTAGAAGAGACAGTCCCAAGATTTAATACAAAACAATTCCGTGAACATTATAGAATGTTGCCTAGTACGTTCGAACTGTTAGAAAATCGTCTTCATCCTATTTTGGCAGGGGACCCTATTAATAATGGTTCTTCGGAACTCTTTTTGGTATTCTCAATTTCAAACTTGCCGCTAAAATACGCCGAGTAACTCTTTAACCGATGAAAAATGATGGGTTGAAAAGTCGACTCTAGAGTTAACGCAATTACTCTAACTTAGCGATCTGAACGCAGTCTACCGAGTCAAAAAATAATTACTCAGATACTATCTGAACGGGGTCGGGTAAATATTTCTACTCTGAGTAAGGAATCTGAACACACCC